TGCTAAATTAAGATCATCCCTGATATGAGAATGTCACATCACCCACCCCAAATAGTCAGTAGTTCAGATTATAGGAATAAATTAGTTTAGAGCTTTAAGACAATTTTTGTTCCCTGATTTTTCTTCAATAACAAATTAATCCAAACTGAATTCTTTTTGTCGGGCTAATAGAGCCGTTTATTTAAGAGCTTTTTTTTATTTAACCCAGTATATTAGTACTAAATCAGAGGGCCACACAGTAGTTCTCGCTAAACTCTGGACCCCATCATACAGCTACCACAGGCAGCAGCATAATTAGACCTCTCTATACACCCCAGGGTGAAGAGTTCACCCACAATAAATGAGCTGTTTATAGGCGCGCACTACAATAGCCCCTGTAGAGCAGCAGCCAGAATCTGCACCAGCTGCATTATTCAGGCCTTCCACAGGAGGAATTTTCTGTTTATTCATTCCAAACCCAGCTGGTAATATTACCAGGCCTCAGCAAAAATTCCGTCCTCATTACGTAAGCAGATCGAGGAGCGAGGCCGGGCTGAGGCCGACCCTGGCAGCTCAGCAGACGTCTTGTCTGACCAGGAGCCAGACGAGCAAAAAGACAGCGAAAGAAAACCTTTAGCGTGAGAGGATAAAGGTTGTACTATGTTCGCTTACTCACTTGTGTCAGATCTCCTTAGGTGTCAATGAAGCACAGCTCGTCACATCCAATAAGGCCGGCTCGTTAGGAAAAAGAAAAGCGCTGACGAGTTTGAATTTCACTGCACTGAGCCGGAACTCAGCCCAGAAGTCAATGATGCTGTTATCAACTTTGACCATGTTTGGTGGTTTGAATTAAAAGAGAGAGAGGAGAGAGAGAGACCATGTTTTAACGTGAGTATGAACACATGAAAGGCAAAGACACTGTTGTGGGTCAACTATTGCACAATAACTGATGAAAACTAACTGCTCACTCTCATCTGACTGCCACATCTGACACCCATAACAACATGTGATGTGCACATTCTAGTCATCCATCCATCCATCATCTCAACACCTTAATCCTCACCAGGGTCATGGGGGGCTGGAGTCTATCCCAGCTGACTCAGGGTGAAGGCAGGTTCACCTGGACAGGTAACCAGTCTATCACAGGGCTACACTTAGAGACAGACAACCAAGCACACTCACATTCACACCTACGGACAATTTACAATCACCAATTAACCTCAGCATGTTTCTGGACTGTGGGAGGAAGCCGGAGAACCCGGAGAGAACCCACATGGGAGACTCCACGGGTGTCCTCACCGGGACGTGAACCGGCGACCTTCTTGCTGCGAGGCAACGGTGCTAACCACCGAGCAGCCCCCATTCTAGTCAGAGGACTTTTTTTCAGCTGAATGTGAAGTCTGGCTCCCCTGACTGCCTCACAGAGCTCTTATCTTATAGTCTTGGCATCACAGGCATTTCAGGGCCGGGTTGGTATCAGGTTGCTCTGAGCAGTCACAATAACAGCTAAGATTACGAGAATTCGTCTGAAATATACACGCTCGTTTAGCTCGACACAGCTTTTCCACATAAGGGAAGCAACAACTGGAGACCGGCCGGACAGGCTGTGGTGTTCCGGTGTGGGACTGCAGCTTGTTCTCTGCTGTGTTGATGCTCAAGGCTGTGTAGCCATGTGTGTTATACTGCCTCAGATGGTACAGTAAGATAAAGGAAAAGAAAGCACTTTAAGTAAGAAATGCCAAGTCAAGCAGAGGTTGAGCAAAATGTAAATAGGCACAATTTCTGTTCTGTACTTTCTGATGGAAACAACCGGCAAACACGGGCCGAGGCAGTTTCCTCAGGAAACAACCACTTGAAGCAACAACAAAGACTGAACTTCCTCAAAACAGCCTTCACGGTTAGATCTGCACCTGGTGGTACTGCAGCCTTGGTCACAAACAACTCTGCCAAATCTGCTCAATGCTCATTATATACAGTATATAACATCAGACTGTGGAGATGACTAAGCCTTTTATAATTAGTGGACTTTGTTGGTGCTTCTTACTATCTAGCTTCAGCCTCCAGAGCTGCGTGTGTCAGCAGCTGACATTTCAGCAGACAAGTCTGAACCTCTCCAGCAGAGACAGGGGAGGTGGTTTGTGGTCTTAACACTTAAGTAAAGGCTCATAATGGATTCACTTTCTGCTGCAATTTCACTACAAGGCTGAGTGGCCGGCTGTTGGAGAACATCAATACCCAACAAAAAGCTCAAAACAATAACAATAATACATTTATTTTATTAAGAGGCGCCTTTCTTGGCACTCAAGGCCACCGTACATACATATAACTTTAAAATTAAAAGTTCGTATTTGTGAGAGGGGCCTCACTGGTTTCACAGCTCAGGTTGCTAGTTATGAGGATCCCTGTGATAGGAGCTTTATTGTGTTTTTTTGACTGTTTGGCAAAGTTTGGTTCAAAAAAAAGAACAAAACAACACTGAAGATATGATTAGGGGAGCATGACTGGATTCAGGTTGGCCTTGACATTCAAAATATACAACAGAAAGCCTGATGTGTGAACTGGAGGAACTTCATGAAGGCAGACGTTTAGGAGATAAAAGACGTTATAAAGCTGCATTGTTTGAGAAGTAAAGTCTTGTGTGTTTTTGTGATATGCTGCTGTAACACTGCCATCTCCCTCAGGGATCAATAAAGTACTCTATTTGTCTGATCCATCAATCTGTATCGTGACAGTCGCAGTGTGATTCAAATATATTCAAAATCTGTGTGATTTAATATCAAAAATAACACGAGGTGTGCTGTACATGTGGCTTTCCTGAGATTAAATGAAACCAAATATGCTCAGTTTACTTCAAGGAATCAGGTCCTGTATGAACCCTTTTTTTTCAACCTTAGAAAACTCATTTTGCTGGTGGCTTATCCATGCAGAGGTCATTTATAACAAACAAAACTTTTATTTCATATGTATTCATATATTTATATCTGTATTAAATGTGTATCACCCAACAAATGAATACCTAATAATTAATAACTAAGTAATTCTAATGCATTTAACTGATAATTCTGGTTAAACTCAGCTCATGTATAAATAAAACAAATATATAGAGAACCTCCACAGCAGTGATTTGTACATTGCAGCACAAAGGGCCCTCCTGATTTACAAAAAAACAAAAAACAAAAAGCAAATCTGCCTGGACTGTTTTCTAATAAATATTCAGAACCAGCATTGAGCAAGAACACAATGAATATTCAGCAGGAGAAATTCTCCCTTGAGATAACATGATATAGTTTAGGAAGGAAAGACTCTGCGAGATATGAAGCCCACTTCCTGCCCTTCATATTACACTCAGCCAGCATTAATGACTTTTGTTCTGCTCTCCTTTAACAAATGATGGCACAGGATGAATGAGTGCTGATGAGCAGTTGGCCTTGGTTTCCAATCAGCCATGCCTAAAGTGGCCACATGAAGCTTGGCAAGCTCTCCCTCCCCACCACCACCACCACCCCACCAATGAAACGCTCAGCTGCATCACAAACACGTGCATGTCTGCAAACTCCACCTCCTCTCCCCCCAGACCCAACAGTTGCGTAACAGCCACTTCATTGCCACATCGTCTACGTCCAAACCTGCGCCCTGAGAAGAACACAATGGTGCTGATGCAGTCTGAGAGGCCTGGGCTGACACAACCAGTACAAAGGGCACCCCAGTTTGGAAAAACTGGTTTGGGGATAAATGCCGTACCAACTGACTTGCTTCTATCTGAACACAGCATAAGTGGGGCACATGCAGGGACGCCCCAACTAAATAAACCCTGCATTTGTTGAATAGAAACGAATAAAAAAAGGATTTAAATAAGTTGGATTATCTCTTTTAAGAAATCCAGTACTCCAACAGGATGCCAGCGAGGAGCAAAAAAACTACAAAGAAGAACCTGAAATCTCTATTTAGTTATCAAACGTGCAGCCAGTTGCTGAGGATAAAACAAAGTAGTGCTGCATAATTTACAGATCAGTCATTTCTGTTATTGTTTTTGTATAACAGCTCCATTTAGGTTTCTGACATGAATGTATGTATTGTATACCATATTTAGATTATATTTTTCTGCAGAATGATGATTAATGAGCCTACAAGCGCTTACTAACATAACTTTAAGGCGCACAAAAAAAACAGAGTAATTAATCAATACCCACACAGATTGTTCCCTTGTACCAACAGAACAGGCCTATAAATCCTCTGTGCATATGCGTTTCCTCATGCAGACAACAAAATGATATACAGCTCTGGGAGCTCTTAGTCAGCTCCCTGAATGGTATATAGCTGCTTTACACAATCGCACTGTGCACAAATAAACACACACGCTTCACTACCGCAGAAAAGAGCCTTTGTGCATGCATGAGACGAGTGCCAAATGAGAGGCATATCCAATCCCTTCTGATTCCCCATTCTTCTTCAAATAGGCCACTCATTAATTAAGAGATGAAAAAACTTCAAACACATGCTCTTGAGTTGGAGTGGCACATCAAACAGGAGAATCACAGCAGCCTGCCAGCGAGGGCTTTGGTCCTACAGGCCCATTACGCTTCACATATAGCTTATATGTTGTTCCTGAAGAGGATAAAAGAAGTGTTTGCGGAAGGCAGTCCTATAAGACATCAAACTCCGAGGCTCTTACGCTCTATTACAACTCCTGATGCAAGCATATATTTGCTATGATGGGAACTGATGATCAAAAAGAATCTGCAAAAGTGATTTTCTTTGTGATCCAAATACTGGAGACTCTTGGCAGCTAAGACTGGCGCTTATCTATCCACATAAGATTGGCTTTATATGAAGCAAGGCAGTGAAACGGCTGGTGATGGAGATAGAGTTTAAAACAGGCATCGGGGGACGTGCATGTGTGTTCAGGAGGCATTAGAGAGGTCACACTGTGGTTTAAAAAAAATTTAAAATTCCCTTTTCCCCCCACATGACTTTGTGTGCTCTTCATAAACAAACAAAAGCCCCCAAGTCTTGGTTCTTACCTTCAATACTGAGTTCAAAGCAGACATGGCAGAAAGATAAGGTCCCTGTTTCTGTCTCTAACTTGCAGACACTGCAGATGTTGTCATCATTCAGATCAATGTTCACAAACTGCTCCTCTTCATCCATAGTGCTTCTGGGGAGAAACAACCAGTGAAAGAGAAGCATTGTTAAAGAGCTCGCACGCTGCTATTTTATTAATCAGGTCACTCTCAAATAAACTTATTAAAAATGCAGTTTTTTTGGTAGCGTCGGTAGGAGGGCTAGTTTTTAGTTCACACTATTTCTGGTCGTAAAGGAGGCAGTTGTGTTTTCAAGTCAGTGGATTGTTGATAAAATGGTCCAGCTAATTGTTGACACAGCAGATTGAACTGGACTGTCTGTCTCTAATCACTGTCCCAAATTTGATGTAATCCACAGTGTTGGAAAAAAAAGTCTGAACTCACACTGGAACTACAATCCACATACGAGCAGTCAATCTTAAAAACAACAGGTACATGGAACTGGAATGAGTTTTAAGAGTGGACTCACAACAGCACATTATATAATGTAACGTACAGAAAGAAGGGATTAACTTTAAAACATGCCGATGAATGGAAGGAAAAAAAAACATTAGTGACATCTGGAGCTCCGTTCTGCATTTCAGTATGTAAACAAGTCACTGCCTTCTGCTTTTGAAGAGTAAATCACTCCAACTACAAACATTCAGGCTGACAGGTTGTGGGAAATGCAGCAACTACATACTTTTTTTTAACTGTCAGAAGCAAAATAATAATAATAAAAGAGCTTCAGAAATTAAAAGAAAGACAAACATTTGCTCAGGTTCCCTCATAAAGCATTTATTAATATTGGAGCCACTGCAGCAATAATTTAGAGACAATATTATGGCGTCTGTAGGAATATAAACAATGTGAAGTTTATTGTATTTGTAAAAGTAGGAACTGCTAGTTTCCTTTGAGAAGGCATTTATAATAACAGTGACAAAGCTTTGTCAGAAAATGAAAGGAAAACAAACAAACAAACCGATTCATTTAGAGAGAAACATCTTTTTGGTTCCTTTTGTTATGCTGTCTTGTGACACCCCACAGATCATAATATCAGACTGCTGGTCATGGGAATTGGGTTCAACAGTTCTGATTCAGAGGCAGCACAGACACCAAAAAGCTGTACTGAAGGTTATGTTATCCATACAGTCCCCGTAATCTAAAACATTCAGTATAAAATACATAACAGGTGATGTTGAGCTACACCAGTGGACATCCAGAACAACAACCAGCGGTAGCAGCACCGAGGCTCGGGCTCCATTTGAACTTTTCCGTCCGTGTGATGCGCACACATAGTTCACCTTCACCGCTGCCTTATTCACGTTTATCGTCGGCAGTTTAATCACCCCAACGTCACCGGAGTGTTAGCTCGACCGTACACAGGTGTCGGTAACCGTGTGTCACCGTTAAACAAAACGCCTGCTAACCCAGAAGTTAAGCTAGCAGCACACAGGCATCCTCCGACCGCTCCGCTCCGGCTGATTCGTGACCGTTATTTGACGCTGTTAAAGCGGCGAGCTGCTCAGTAAAACGAGGGCTCCGGCGGTACCGGAGGACACACTGTCGTGAAACTCACCTCCGTCTTGACGAGTGTCTTCGGACAGCTGTTTCTTTTCGTGTGGCGGACCCCTCGGTGTTTGTTCACCCCACGGAGCACGCAGACATCACACACAACAGAGCGTCACGGCAAATCCACAGCAGCTACAGGAGCCTCTCTGCCCTCTCAGCGGGACGAACCACTACTTTGTTTGAGGGGTGCAACTAGTACGTCGGGACGTTAAATATCACATATTCTGCCTTATCGCGAACAAAAAAAAGGCAAACATTATTATTTAATGTACTTACGGTGTAAAATTAACTCATATAAATCGATAAGTTTTATGACATAAACCGTCTGTGGCAACAATAGCAATGAAAGCACCCCTGCAGCTAAAACGAGATGAGTGTTCCGAGCGTCACCAAAACATTTCCATATCAGATGGTAGAAGTCGGGGTTTGGGGGCGAACCAAACACAACAATAACTACACAAAGTGGTTTTAAAGTATTGTCTCCTTGTTGGATGAAGCGTGCGTGGCTGCACACTTTTATTTCTGACACCGTACATCAGCTTATATAACCTTATATCAGCAGCACTTTCTGTTTTCATTTTCCTTTACACGTGGGGAATTCCCGCGAAACACCGACACCAGCAGCCATTAACTGTTCAGGTAGTTGTGCCATTGCAGTACGGGATTTCCTCAAAGGCCATCTAACAAACTGCTGAACTCACTTCTACCTGTGGTATAGAGATAGCTACAGAAGTAAAGACACACCACATGTCCCACCTGTATCACATTAAATTAAATCACTATTTAAAATAGTACACTCAGGACAATGGCACTAATTCTGATTGAATGGTCTTGAAATACAGCACTTGTTTTTATGCTGCTGAATGTACTGCTGAACCTTTAAAAAAAACATTAAAAACTGTACAATAGCTACAGTATTATAAGTTGCGGTGATGTGGGCTCTCTGAACACCTATTTCTCCATCCATCCATTATCTATACACCGTTTAATCCTCACCAGGGTCGTGGGGGGATGTAGTCTGTCCCAGCTGACTTAGGACAGGTAACCAGTCTATCACAGGGCTACACTTAGAGACAGACAACCAAGCACACTCACATTCACACCTACGGACAATTTACAATCACCAATTAACCTCAGCATGTTTCTGGACTGTGGGAGGAAGCCGGAGAACCCGGAGAGAACCCACGCTGCACGGGGAGAACATGGAGACTCCACGCAGAAAGATCCCAGCTGTTCTCAAGGGGACGCGAACCGGTGACCTTCTAGCTGTGAGGAAATGGTGCTAACCACTGCTCTACCTTGCAGCCCACACCTATTGAAAACAGTTGTATTAGCCTGGCCAGTATTGGTCAGCAAAAGTCTAACACTGTGCAAAAAATGAAAAAAAAAAACAAAACAAGAAATGTTAGTAGGACTTCAATTTACTGCCAGAACAAAAGCATAAGCAACCTTGTCCCGGGTTGCCAAACTCGGCAGGTTATTGTTAAAGTCATCTTAGTAACTGGCTGTTTTCATGTCCACATCTGGATAATAATACATATAAAACCTGTGTTACTGTAGCTGTTGTTACTGTGTAAGTTAACATCAGACTGTGTGACCTCTGATGGTAAATGTGACACCATGGCGATCAATACTGCACCTCACAGGTTTCCATCTAGTTAGCTTTATTTGTCTGTCCACTCCTAACAGGTAACACTGCTTACTTTTGCCATACAGGGACTTCTTCTCTGGTCACCTGCACTGTATACATTTAACACACTAAACAGTAGCGCCCTCTGTAGGCTCCAAAAAGCAATTACATTCACTATAGAACAGTAAACATGTCTTAACATCATGTTAAAAAGTTGTTCTGTAAATCTCAGGTTCCGTTTCCGGCCTTAGTGTTAACATGGATGCTAAATCATATTTCTCAGTGTCCTAAAATAGCTAACCTATTAGCTGTGACCAAGTTTCCTGTAGGTCTCAGCTGATCAATCGTAGTGGATCAATAACGTTATTACAGTGTTTTGACGTGCTGCTCATTACTTATCAGCAGATAGAAGTTAAACAAAGTTAATGTTTCTCCACAGAACACTTCCCTCAGTTCAGTTCATGGTTCTTTGGTTTTTACAGTTTTTAAACATTACTGTATTGAACCATTTTTAATGTATTTTTCTGGCTCCTTTGCTCCAGATTGTCTCTTTTTACAGTGTAGTCAACACGTGTAGGAGCAAATAAAATGCAAACACTGACAAAGTTACTGATGTGTCATGTGCATTTACAGTGAATCAGAAGAGCCAACTCCCATCGAGTGAGAGTCAGTCGCTGCTCAGTGGCTCAGCTCGGCTCACGGCAGAACTTTGTTTTGATTGGCAGCATGGCGGCCTTGTGGCCAATCACATGTGAGGATTTAGTGCCACAGCTGATGTTATGATGGAGATGCGATGCTAACTTGAGGAGCCCCTCATCCAAAGAGCAGAAGAGCCACTGAGCTGGTGGCAGGCCAAGGCCTCAGTTTTCCCCCAACTGGTGAAGGTGATGGAGGGGAGACAACATCTGTTCCCTCTGAAAGTGTAGCCCTGTGATAGACTGGTTACCTGTCCAGGTGAACCTGAGTCAGCTGGGATAGACTCCAGCCCCCCACGACCCTAGTGAGGATTAAGGTGTAGAGATGATGGATGGATGGATGGATGGATGGATGGACATTGGGGAAATTTTCTGTGTAACATCAGCAAAGATCGTGCAAACATTTCAGGAATACAAACATAAAATAACCCACAGTATACACAAGTACTAGTTCTTTAACATAACATTGCACCTATCAGTGGTGTTACGTGGATATTTTTTGATGAATAGAAATACAGAGACATAAGATAAACATGATTAATCCCGAAGTCTTACCGCCTACTGGTGGCTGGTAAAGACAAAGATGTTCTTGCTTGTGGTTTGTAGGCTTTCTTGTTCTCACCAGTGGAGCCACAGATGTTGTCAGTTTCTCTGGGTGTTGAGGAGTGATATCTGTCTTGCTGTTCTGTCCTATTTAACAACTCTCATGACTTTCCACAATTCCCTTTTTAACTTTTGAGGTTGAGTCCTAGTATTCTCTTTCTTTTCAACTGAGCCAGAAAGTGTGGGGGTTTTTTTTGTTTTTTTTAAATTTTCCTCTCATATCTTGACAACCATTCGTCCAATTTCCTTCAAATCTGGTGGGTGTGTCGCTGGTTACTCAGTGAAGCACATTCTTGAGTTTGAAGGCGATAGATGGAATGAACGGAGGCCGTTTAGGGGTCTTTTTGTGGTCCTCAGCCTGGCCTGTGGCTGCTTATGGGTGGAGCTACTGTTAAATCAAAAAAGAAATAAACCTAATATCACTGCACTCATCAAATCAAAGTTAGAACCAGGCCTCTCCTACAAACGCTGCAGCTACTTTCTGTGTTTCTTTTAAATCAGGCTGAGAAAATCCCATTTTTTTCATCTAAAAATATTCCTGGATCTTTCTTTTCTATTCATCACACTTTCACTGAATCTCTCCAGCAGAGTTGTAGATTATGTTAATCTGCTTTCTTCAGAGGGTGGAGGAATATCTGAATGGAGACAGAGAAAAGCAGCTCTGCTGTTTGTCACCTCTGCATCTGTCAAAGACGCGACCTGGTAGGAAAGATCAGCAGCTACAGATCACAACACATTTAACGTGAAGCTCAGTTCATGTTGGGACACTTATGGCCAGTGTAGAAAACCTGTCTGGTGACTTTGTCCTGCTTTTTCAAACATTGCCTTACTTTTTCTTCCCACCAGGAAAGTCTACTGAAGTGACAAACAGAGGGCATAAAGCTCTGACTCTGTTCTGGAGGCGGTTATGGAAGTTTTCCCACAGACTGTAAAAG